AAAAAAAAAAAGATCCCATGAAATGCAAAAAGTAACAAATGTTGAGAAATAAGTCCATGCCGTGTCTGTCTGTCTGTCAGGACGGTGGAGCGTCTGGGCATCCTGACCGGCGCGCAGCTCTTCTCTCTGAATAAAGATCATCTGAAGGCTGTGTGTGGAGACGAGGGATCTCGCGTCTTCAGCCAGATCACCGTCCAGAAATCACAACTAGAGGTCAGTGACACTTCCCACAGACTGCACTCAGCACCACAGAACTCTTCTCATTTGTCTTTTCTCTCTCCATCAGAAGAGTCGAGGAGATACAGAACTGCAAGAGATTCTGACTAAACAACAAGAGAAAATTTCATCTGCCCCCTAAACACGCTCACACAGACTGTCAATCAAACAGTCACCTGGTAACAGTAACCGTCAACCAAACCCACCAATGAAATTCAGCCACACCGTCGACCAAACGTCTAATCCAATATATTTTTTAGTTGTGTATTTATTGTTGGTGCTTTTTATTAGTGCATGTACGGACCTTATTGTAATTTATCCGCATACGTTATCTGGTTCATGCTGGAAAATACTTACTACTCTTTATTGCATGAAAACAATGTATAGGTGAATCTCATGAAAACATGTACAGGTCATGCTTCAAAATTAAAAGAAAAATGAACGATAAAAATAAAGGACTATAAAGATTTTATTTTTGCGTTTTCATGTAATTTTAACCACAATTGCTCAAAGTAGACTTTTTCTTTAGTTTTTATGTAATTCTCAATTATTAAATAGCATGTATGAACTTGTCACCTCAAAATCCAAAGAAAAATTATGAAAGAAAATTGACTATTTTAGGACCCTTTTTTGTTATTTTTGCATTTCCGTGTCATTTTATCCACAGCTTCTCAAATGCACACATTTTGAGTTTGTCATTTTTGATGATTCTTGTTTTAAGCAGAGGTGAAATGCAATATGTATAGTGCAAAAATGTAAATTTAAGCAAAATACACATCTTTCTTGTAGTGGTTCAGTGTGACTCGTACATGTTGACAGGTGAGATTCACCCGTGTCTGAGCGGAGTGAATGTTTTCTGGGGTTTGATCTGTGACATTGGTTTTTGAAAGAAACAAATGTAAATAATGTGCTAAATTCAGTCGCATCATGCATGTTTCTGATGCTGATCATTATATCAAATGAATGAAGCGAGAACAGTACATTTATCAGCTGGATTCATGCACGTCTTTTTTTTTATTTGTATAAAGCGCATTTAGAGACTTTGATCTTACAGTATGTGGTTTAATCACAATAGAGACACTTTAAAAAGACACACAGATGAGATTTAATCAGTTTAATCAGATAACAATTGTAGGAAATCAAATTAAATGTCATATTAAACCGGAAGTAGTATTATCCTCTGCTAGTTTCTCCAAATGTTATTTATAAAAACCAAATCACTGTATTGTAAATTTCAGAAATAAAGTGACTACTAAAAAGATTGTGCCTCAGAAATTACCCTCAAAATATTCAATGCATCTAGCAACTATGCAAATCTAAAATTCAGCGATTGTAATCCAGCAATCACACAACTTCCAGGTACATTCACGCACGTTCTTGTACCTTCAGATATGTCCTAGGAGCGAGACACATACATCTCAGTCTCTTTAAAACACATTCAAAGTGCCACAATTACCCTTCAAACACCAAAAACAGAAGTGCTACGTGTCATTTTGGCAATCTGATAGACTGGTCTTTTAGTTACGAGACTTTTTAACGCCTATTCTGCAACATGCTTGCTCTGATTGGTGGATTCTGCTCAGCTTTTAATTTTTTAATGCAAGCAGAAGTGAGGTTTTATTTGTTGAGGTACGCATCCAGCCAGAGTTCTCCAGATTTTTCCAAAGACCTGAGAGGAGAGTAATGGTACAGTTAGTGCTGAAGCATCTGCCAGTGAATGCATGCAAAATATGAATATCAATAAGTATGAATCATTCATATATAGACACTTCATAATCCAATAAATTCCTAAATGGATCAAATCAACTTCCACTATGTTTTTCCTGGTTTCACTCAGTAAATGTCACAAACTCTTCTGTTGTGTGCGAAAAC